CTGCACACTTCTCGATACCGGAAGGCAATCAGTCACAGTTTCAGAAAGTGGGCTAAGCCCCCTCTCCTCCGGCTCAATGCTACTGGTGCTTTTACCAAGTGGCTCTCCCATTCATCATGCCGTCAGGACCTTTTGAATTTAAGTTTGGTGAAGATTCATCTTCCAAACATCGCATTCAGCCACTTGCCTCAGATAGATTTCTGTTGCCTCTACCGTATACAAGTAGTGCTGGTCTGTGAGGCAAGAAAAATAAATTATTTATACTGGACAATTTTTTTATAAATCGATTAAGTTTACTTGCATTGTTGTAATTTGTTTTAACTTCAATTTTCGAGAAACTGATAATAAGGAATATATATAGCTGTACTTTACTCTTGAATTGTTTTACGACGTTCTCATTTATTCGTGTTACGTAACGTCAGTATACAGAGAAGCGTACTGATTCTCAGTTATCCATAAATGCTGAAACTTCACAGAGGACAGGGTACAATTTTCCTACTCTTCACACATCCCTCAAATTTAAATTATTTGGAAAGCCTTAAAACTTAGAAGAAATGTAACTGGTTGTAAAGAGCGTGTTTCATTCATCTGTACATTTCTTTGGTACATGTTTTTTTCTGATGCATACATAATAAGTTGCGCTAAAGATGAGTGTAGATACCCATAGACGATGTTCTTGTAAACTGTGCCCTTTTCTTTTGAGATGCAACCAAAATTTGAATATGTCAAGAAGGTTTATTGTAACCCTTAAACATCATGTTTTTACGAAAACCTGCTGAACTGTTATCCATCTGCTACGTACGGACAGACGAACGTACAGATATGGAGAAAATAATAGGCGCAGTTTCTCGGCATTTCATTTTTAACGCTCCAAAATGAAGCGTGTTTATTCGTCAGTTTGATATCATAGGATTTGATGAAATATTTAAATTAATCTTACTAAGAAGGCAATTAAGGAAACGCAATTAAAATTATATAAAGCCCCTGTGGTAGCTCTTCTATTTAAGGTTGAGGGTTTGAGAGTTTGGAATAAAAGATTAAATTAAAATTTTATCATCAGGGTTTTAACCCCTCAGTTCTGCGAAGGGAACTACAGAAGAAGCTAGAATATGTAATAAAGAAATTGTACAAAAACTGCATGTATTTTTGTCCAGGATAAAATAACAGCATTTGTAAAACTGGGAGGAACATTTAGATGAATGAACTGTGACCGTCTTCCGAAACAACAGAAGGAACCAGAAACTGATGTAGCTGAAAATCGGACAGGATATTTACGTATGATCCCTGAATGTGGGTGATATTGACGGTGGTCTGAATTTAGGTTTCCCCGGTGGTCTACTGGGTAGCATGTGCTAAATTTTCTCGGCAGTCCTGTATTTAAGCATCCTGTTGCATGACTGTATGTAAAACTGTTTATGTACCACACACTCCATCAACAATGCAACACATTTTTCCGTCTTCCTTTCACTTTCACTTTCGATACATGTTTCGGGACCAAATGGCCGTCTTCTGTTGTAGTATAGCAATTTTGGAATTGTAAGACACCTGAAGATGATCATTTAGGGCCGAAACATGTTGTTCCCAAAGTGAAAGTGAAAGGAAGAAGGAACAATATGGTGTATTGTTGACGGATTGTGTAGTCATAAACAGTTTATTCGTCAGATCTGCCATAGGAATGTTGAGTTTAAAACCTATCGCAGTAGGAATATTAAGGAACTTTTTTTCGCCGTGAAAGCTGCAAATCTTACGGACTGGATATCATATTCGATTAATACATAAAGGGTTCCGGTTTTTATAGCAGTCAATACCGACGGTGTCAAAAGTCATATAACACGTTTAAAGTATGGAAACTGAGTTATCTTCATATGGAAATAAAGCGAATTTCCGTAACGAATATTATATTTAAGCATCCTGTTACACTCACACAATATATATGAGGCAAACTCCGTCTTAAGTGCAACAATTTAATTGTAAAAAATTTTAATTTTCAAAAATTTGGAAAAAGAAAAAGAACAAAACTTATAGACATTTTAATTTGAATTTAAGTTTTAAAAAAGTGACAGTTTTAGAAATCAAATTGACGCGTGTAAGTTAACAAAGATTTTATACATACATACAATTGGAAAGACCGGTGATTTTAAATTTTAAACTACGGGCATTGTAGCAGCTACGTAAGAATACACACCTGATGATGGCCATTTAGTGCCGAAACATGTAGTGTAGAGGAAGAGAAGAAGAAAGAACTATAATTAAATTGTTGCACTTAAGACGGCGTTTGTCTCATATATATTCCGTACCGAAGTTTGTGCTGAATATGACAGAGACAGCGGGGAGTCTCGAACAGTGTTGCGCTCTAACGGATCAACCATCAACATTCATTTTTAAAGTATCTTTTCATTACCTTTTCTTGGAAGCCTTACTCGTTTCAGCAACTTCATTTGGTTACAAAAATAGAACATTAATTACGAATTCCACGAATTAAGAAAATGAATCAGATTGGAATGCTTACTATAGAGAAAATGTGCAGTTTACGTCACAGATACACCTTTGGATTTGATGAAGACATTTTCTAAATATCCCATCAAAATTAACAACGAAACACAAAACCTAAAATAATTAAGAACCTCAGTTAAGAAAGGATCATTTAAACATAAAAATATTCATTAAGAATTTCGAGGTACTCCGGTCACATTTTCCTAATGGTTTTGATTCCGCGCTGAATATCTCTAACAAGTCTGTAGAGTGTAGGTTTAATTCATTTGATTTTAGTATCAGAAAGTTTCCCTGAAACATTGACTGCAGGTCTTCTTACAAATTTTAGCAGAGTGACTTTAAGATCATTTGTAAGCAGTCATGTCTGTTAGGCGTTTGAGTGTGTTCGTTTAGGACTACCGGATTTCGGTGGAACTGAGAATGACACATGTCAACCATTGTTGACAACAGTTGCTCTCGAAGCTTTGTAGACAAAAGACAACCCTTGGGTACAATTGCACATTTTCTCGAGAGCTGTACTCTGGAAAACGTAAAACCATCCCACCTGACAGCAACAAACAACTCTTGAGGATCTCGAGAGAAACAGATACTTCTGGGAAGCTGCCATCTTCTACTGCCTAATCCACTGCTAGAACGGTTCCGCGTGTACAATTACTAACCATGTTTCATGAGATCATATTGGCTGACTTTCCAGCTTGGTAGTAGATATTGTTGAATAGGAAATAATAGTCAATGGAATAGAATGTTTCCGCTGGCATTAGTATATCCAGAATATTTATCATGGTTATAGTCACTAAAACCTCAATGGCTGATTACTGGGTTTATGAAAGGTAAGCCTTTGGGAAAATGATTAGTGTGGTAAGGAGCAATGCAAGAATTAATCGCATTATAACAATTACAGAGATTCATTTTGTTGTATGTTTCGACATTCGTTAATTAAAATAAATAAGAAAACTGTTTTTGGAATTAAATTTATGTTTGATCTGGATGCTTTCCTGACGTGTTAAATATGAGTCATACCGACCTTCTGTTGTTTATGTGATTAAACCAAAAAAGATACAATAAATATAGGATGTAATATTATGGCTATTGACCCGTTGCTAGGCAACGACCGCGAATTAAGTCACCATACAACAGTCGTTGATGGGTAATGACTCTACCAAAAGATACGAACGTAACAATTCCACGGCAACCGTTGCACTACAACAAAGGAATCCTGTTTTATACGTTGTCCTTGCGGAGATGTTATGAGCAGGACAAGTGAGGATTCAGTTAGTGAAGATTTGGTTGGTGAGACAGTGAGTTCGTTAGAGGACTGCTGCAATTCAGTCGTGATGAGCCGTTAGTGTGAGAAAATTCTAACTGATGCCGGAGGCAGTTCGGAAACCCAGAGAAAGGGGAACGTCTGCGGTAGAGAACCGCTACCAAACAACGGCTGGTGAGGACGTTACTGTATCTGTAACAGTTAACTGTAAATTGTAGTCACGAGTTGTGTGTCTAAGAGTTCAGTAAATCTGATTACCAATTCAAACCCCTTCTATAGCCACACCTTAAAATTGTGACAATATATACACTTGAATTTTTTAAAGTGTATATATCTGGTACAATTATCTGAAGACTGGAAATATATTCATGACATGAGGATTTTCTCTCCCATCTGAATCTATGGAAAGCGTAATATTTGTATAATGATAATTTTCTGCTTCATATATAACCGAGACACACAGTAGCGTAGTTAGTTTAGACTCTATGTTAGAAACCGGAAGGTCGCGGGTTCGATTTCCGATATCATTAGATTTTTTAATTGACCTAATCTTTCCAGAAAAAGTACGACCCTTGGGTCGACTCAGCCTCTAAATAAATGAGCACCAGGTTTCTTCCTGGGGGTAAGGGGCGGCCGGCGTGTAAGGCTGACCTCACCGCCATCTGTGAGCCGCTTGTCTAGGAATGTGGGAGCGTCGAAGACTCACAGCCCTTAGGCCTCCACGGAATGTTATAAGGATAGCTTTACCATTTTTTTATACAAACAAATTAAGTGTGATTTTAGGGTCTCACGGAGTTGGGTGTGTAGATTTCGGTCTTCGGTGATATGACGTTTACTTTTCACAGGCAGCAACTTTCACGGGAATCAAATGCCTCTTCCCCAGAGGTTGAAGATGGAGACAGTAGGTTAATCTGAAATATTGTCATCTATCCTACCATAGCACCATATCCAAGAAGGAGGAAATCATCACACTTGCAGCCCATAAGTCCCTAACCTTGACGAATTACTCACTGGTTTTATGAAACCACTAAATTAATAATACAGAATATGAACTCCTCATAGAATCCAAATGCATTGAAGCCTTCAAGGGCGGTCATCACAAAGATACTAGTAAATCCCTATCTTTCACGGACTTTTTCAGTTCTTCATGGTAGAGAGGGAAAAGTCGGATGTTTACTCCCGAGAAGATTTCAACTGATCCCAAAATTTGGAATATATTCTTACCGCCGTGTTTCTTTTTCAGGTATTCCTCAACCGTCGACACAGTACAGAACTACTAGCACCACAGAAGCTAGTGTATTACCAGAGAAAGGTGGGTAAGAGCTGAGCATGGCACAAGTTTAACAAGCCCTATAGTATCAGGTTTGAAGTTTTCAAAGCAACTAAAATTATAACATCTTCTCAGGGCATGAGCTATATCAATTTTGAGTGAAACTAAAACTTTTCGGAAACAGTTTTTTTCTTTCTTGTCATAGAAAATTTGAAATGTATGCCTTTTCACTCGTAAGCAGTTAAGGAAACCGGCTGAAATTATTAACTTAATAACAGAGAAGTGATAGGCCGAAATAGAAGCCTCAACTAATGATTGAATATAATGGTGACATGCTGGCTTGTCTGGCCTGTCGCACACTTCAAAGGCAGTGCAAAATGAACATGACGCAGCAATGGAGAGATTCAAAAAGAATAAGCGGATTATTTAGAAAAAAATATTTCTTCATATCTTCCGCAAATCTGACAAAGATTGCCTAAACATGAACCCGATGCATTTAACGTTTGAGCTGTGTTACAGGAAAATCACAGAGAAAAGCTTTAAATATTTGTAACGGCGATTGATTCAATGTTTATAATAGTCTTTTGGATATTCTTTACTGCTTCTGGAATGTCTATAAGGTTTATTTGACATATCATACACGAAGCTTTGTTTTTTTGCTTCCGTCTTCAGGCGATTTCTTTTCATTATACTAAAATGTTTTTTTCTCTTTTAATTTTCTGAGAGTAGTGGTGATAATTGGGGTCGAGCGTGGTACATTTTTGGCGCTAGGCTTATACGCTAACGACTGGGCGTTTGGTAGAACTCAGGGTTGTTTGAATATGAGGCTAATGTGTTATCCATTAGACTAGACTTGATTCGCCCGGCAACCGTGTTATTGGTTTATTCTCGACAAATAGATTACATTCAAGATTAATATACATAATTTAATTCTTTGGATGATGCTGTATTAGAAGTTGCTAATGTCATCTTCATTTATTAAATTAACACAGTTGTAACGTTGGTATTATTGTTAGCTTGAAATTAGACAGTATTAAGGGTGAGTAACCGTTAATTGTATGATATTCATGTAAAGTTTCGTAACAACACTCCATCTGATTTAAATGGTTGAATAAATGGAAGTCACGTGGGCAGATGCACAGGCACTCTATTACTGTTATCCAAACTTTCTATTTATAAGGCAGAAAATAGCCTAAAGACGGAAACAAAACGATTAAATAAACACTTCGTCATTAGAGCGTTGTTGCGTTGCGCTCGACATGTTATATGTCTCGGATCGTGTATTACGCCGAATTTTTTTTAGCTGTGTCAGTGGAACACATTGTGTCAAAACCCTTTATCTTTTACTGTAATCACTAAATTCGTTACGAAAAGTCAATTTTTTATTTAATGGATAATCTACATCCTTCAGCAGCTGCAACTTAAACACAGTGCGGGGTTTCCATCGGCAGTATGTACCGAATTATGGATCCTCCTCTGTGAACTGCTGAATGAACATAGATTCTTGGACATATTTGGAAATGTTTTTAAATGTCCTGAAA